AAAGACAAATGGAAAACCGAAAAGTCATCAGTAAAATGTTGCTTCAACGGCACGAAAGAAAGTCTTTTTTGCATCGAATTGTGACTGGTGATGAAAAGTGGATTTATTTTTGAGAATCCCAAACGCACAAAATCATGGTTGATCCAGGTCAACCATCAGCATCGACTGCAAGGTCAAATGGCTTCGGAAAGAAGACAATGCTCTGCGTTTGGTGGGATCAGGAAGGTGTGGTGTCTATGAGCTTCCAAAACCAGGTAAAACTGTTAATACTGATTGCTACTGACAACAAATAATCAATTTGAACCATGCTTTGATCGTGAAACGACCAGAATGTTCCAGAAGACGCGGCAAAGTAATTTACCCACCTGCCATATTCACCAGACCTTGCTCCTTTCAGATTACCACGTGTTCCAATGGATGGCACACACACTTTCTGAGCAGTATTTCAAAACATAATGAAGAAGTGGAAAATTGGATCTCTGAATAGTTTGCCTTAAAACAAGGAAAGTTCTATTGGGACAGTCTCCACAAATTACCTGAAAGATGGGGGAAATGTGTAGCTAGCGATGGACATTACTTTGAATAAAAAAGCACTTTTGATGTTTCTCTTGAAATTACCGTGTTTTCTTTGATTACAAAATCTGCCATTATTAACGGGTACACCTGGGATTATTTGTAACACTTGTAATGGGACATTCCTGTCACCAAAGTGAACATTAATTTCCTCATCATTTTTCTGTCTTCATGTTGTTGGCATAAAAAGGATGACGGGGAGGCCTGTTCTGAGCAGATTGTATCCGTAGAAGGAGAGTCACAGGTCAGGGCTTCTAAGACAGCTCCAGCAACCCAGAGGACCCATCTGTGTAAGTGGTGTTTCTCAGTATTCAAAGACATTCTGCACCTGACTGAGTCACAGGCAGCAGACTTTGAGCAGAAAGCCTTCTTCAGTGACGCATGTGTGAGAGACTTCTGTTTCAGTGCGAACCCTCGCCAGCAACAGAGGGAAGCCAGTGGAGAGAAGCCCTGGAAAGAAGCTGTGGACAGGGCCTCGTTTGTGACCAGGTGCAGCTTCTACTTATCTTGGGTTTCTTCAACCAGTAGGGAGGTTGGGAAAGACTTCCCCGCCACCTCACACCTTCTCCAGCACCAGGCCCCTCTCGACACTGAGGAGCCACACAGTGGCAGTGAGATTTCACAGGAATTTCTCAGTGGAAATAGTCATTATGATTGGGGTGAATGTGACAAAGCTGCCAGCCACAAGGAGAGAGTTGTTCTACGTCAGGGTGTCCGCTCTGAAGAAGTGAATTATGTATGTAGCAAATGGGGGACGTTTTTAGAGGAATATTTAACCTCATTCAGTATAAGAGAGTTCACACTGGAGAAAAACTCTATGAGTGTATTGATTATGAGAAATCCTTGAGTCAAAGGTCTAGCATCACAGAGTTCACATTGGAGAAAAGTCTTATGAGTGTAGTGAATGTGGGAAGTCATTCAGACAAAGGTATACCCTCATTCATCACCAGAGTTGACACTGGAAAAAAGCCCTACGAGTATACTGATTGTGGGAAGGGCTTTTGTGAAAGCTCTGCTCTCATTTAACACCAGCGAGTTCACACTGGAGAAAAGCCATATGAATGTAGTGATTGTGGAAAGCCCTTCCGACAAAGATCTCACCTCATTAAACACCCCAGAGTTCACACTGGAGAAAAGCTGTCTGAGTGTAGTGAATGTGGGGAGTCATTCAGGAAAACCTCTAGTCTCATTGAACATCAGAGGGTTTACACTGGTGAAAAACCCTGTGTGTGTATTCATTGTGGTAAGGCCTTCTGACAAAGATTATACCTCATTCAACACCTCAAAGTTCACACTAGAGAAAAGCCCTATGAGAAAATTATGAATATTCCAAGCTCCTCGCTGGATCTTCATTCCTTTCTCTCTGACCAGAGAATTGACCTGATGCAGGTTTTGTCCAGAGCACCCTCCTCAGCTAAGTGCTACCTCTTTCAGGGACATTGTGGGTCTCACATTGTTCTGTGATGAAGTGTTTTCGGGTCCAGTTCATCAACCTGCAAACCACTTGCTGTCCTCTGCTCTCGTTCATGATCTTTTTGTAAAGGTTTTTTTTTTTTTCATCTGTACCTTAAGTTTTTTGGTTCTGTTTACTCCCTGGGATGAAAGGAAAATTGTGATCTGTCAGCATGGAGAGGTGAACAGATATGGTGGGTCCTAAACTTTCTGTGCTTTGGAAGGCACAGATTGATGGCAGAAAATCACTTTGTCTAATATTGACTGATTTTGCATTGCTGACCGAGGACTTGAAAGAGAGACTGAAGAGTAGGCCTTTGCTATCCTCTGTGAACAATATGAATTATATTCTCTGTTCACAGTACCCTATATAATAAAAGCATAGTACAGTGGGGGCCTTGACTTACGAGTGTCCCGACCAACGAGTTTTTTGAGATACCAGCTGTCTCTTGGCCGATTTTTTGCATTGAGTTGACAGAGTAATTTGAGTTAACGAGCTCCTTAACGAGCTCAATCTCAGAACTAATTAAACTAGTAAGTCAAGGCCCCACTGTATGCAAATTGTCCCCTCAACCAGGAGTTGTCCGAGGGTTTGACCAGGGAGTGGGGCCGGCCGGGTGAAGGGAGGGAGTACCCAGCCAGCATCTGCTAGGGACCCTACCCATGTATGAATTTCATGCACTGGGGTTCTAGTGTATTACATAATTCTCAGCAATGATTAGGAGAAATCCTCCCCACATTCTGTAAAGGAGCCATAGGCCATCATGTACGAGATTTCTTAGGCTGGTGCATTTGTTCTGGACTCTGATGTTTAGATGGAACCACAGTTAGGACAGAAACCCTGTGTTCATAGTGGGAAAGGCTGCTGTAAGTTAGATGAAAAGCACCTCTTCTGAACGTTATCCACAAATGATCCAGCGCCTGTGGCTTGTGTGATCTTTGTGTACAGATATTCTCAGGACCTCCATCACTGCTTCCTGTGGCTGACGTCATTGGCAGAAAAAAATAATCTAAGTTTTTTTTTCGATTCCCCTGGCTCATCTAGGGAGTTCACCTCAAGGTTGTTGCTCAACAGGCAAGACAGCAAAGCTAGAGGCAGGATAAGCCTGTAATTAGTCCCAGGATGTGTCTTTTGTGACCAGTCAGCATTCCTGTTGATTCTAATGGCAATAGTCTTCCCTGCTTGCCAGTATTTGCTGCCATTCCTCCCAGGAAGCGGCAACTAGTATGCAACAAAGTGCACTTTTCTCATGTGTGCTGTTTGGTGAGCCCTGATAGGAGGATATGTCACATGTGAGATACACTTATCTGTCACCAATATACTGGGT